GCAAGCACGGGACCGCGAAAGCGCGGCAACGGCGACATCGCGAGTGCTGGTTGATTTCGGGTTTTCGGGTTAACCCGAACCCGACCCGTTTTTTAAACGGGTCAAAAATCTGAACCTAGACCCGACCCGTTTGCTAAACGGGTTAACCCGAACCCGGATTTTTCGGGGTCGGGCCCGGGTCGGGTCAAAAATTGACACCCCTAGGTTCGGACACCAGACGATGTCCGTAGGTCAATGAAAATGTGTCACATCATCACCTACTCGGTACTTAGCTCAGTATGAGCTCGGTACTTCACAGTACCGAGCAGTACTTAGTTCAATAATACTCGGTACTGTCACAGTACAATACCAAATTCAGTATTACTCGGTATAGTGAAATACGGAACTTAAGCTGAGTCCACTGTCCAAACCCAATAATCTCCCGAAATAGAGAAGTACATACCGCAGAAAGCAAGGACTGGTACAGCTGATCATTGAAGTACGTGTAAGAGCTCCCACTATCAAAGACCACAGCTTGCCTCACCCCCAGCTGCTGCTTTCCAGCGTATACTCCAGCCACACCCGGCGAGTAATATCCACTGCACACAATATACAATCAACACCAAAATCAAAAAAAGTACTCAACAGCAATCAGAGAGAAAAAAAAAAACTCACTGCGCGGCATTGCGAGACAAAGGTATCCAAGTCACACTCCGCGGAGGCACCACGTTTTCCCCAAAGAACATAAATCCGACGCTCTGCCTACTCAGGCAATGACCAACGACGCTCCGGCAGATGCCGAGCTCGCTCAGCTGAGATAGTATGCTCACTTTCCCGTTGCCGAGACCAAGCACGCCGTCAGTCGGCGAGCGCCCATTGGGACCTGACGATGGCCCAGCTTGTTGGTCGTAGCCACAGCCGAAGGCGAGGGTGGGCTGGGCGAGAGAGCTGTTGGTTAAACGGAGTGCAAAGGAGTCGGAGAGCAGGACGCCGATGGAGGAGCCATGATCTTGGTACTCGATCTCGTAGTCGCATTGTTCGGGTATCCCGCATCCAGCTTCGTGGTTCGTTGATTCGTGCAACGCAGCGCAAAGGGGATCCTCGCATGGCACGAGGCGTTTCTTCGCTGGACGGTACAGAGGATGGGGACCCTGCAATGGTAAAGCTTGAGAGGGAATTATGGTTCATTGGGTTGAAAGCAGGGCAAATTATTGCATCCGGTCACGGACGCGGAAAATAAGTTTGGACATTCAATAAAAAATTGTCGTGTCATCTGTGCTTTTTGACTTGTGCTTTAATTGCGCTTTACCTATGCTTTAGCGCTTTTGACTTGCGCTTTAGTTGCTCTTTACCTATGTTTTAGTTGCGCTTTACTTATGCTTTACCTACGCTTAATTAAAATAATATTTTATTAATATCCAGACCTATCTCAACGTCCGGTGACCGGATGCAATAATTTGCCTGAAAGCAGAGGGAGAAGGGGCA